TTTTTTTGAGACAGGGTTTCTCTGTGTAGTTTTGGTGCCTGTCCTGAATCTCACTCTGTAGACCAGGCTGGCCTTGAACTCACAGAGATCTGCCTGGCTCTGCCTCCTGAGTGCTGGGATTAAAGGTGTGTGCCACCACCGCCTGACCATTTTTTTGTTTTTTTTTTAAAAGAGATTTTTCTATTTTACATACCAACTAGATTCCCCTGTCCTCCCTCCTCCCACCTCCCAGCCTTCCCCCATAACCCACACACCATTCCCACCTCCTCCAAGGCAAGGTCTCCCATGGGGAGTCAGCAGAGCCTGGTACATTCAGTTGAGGCAGGTCCAAGCCCCTCCTCCCTGCACCAAGGCTGTGCAAAGTGTCCCAGCATAGGCCCTAGGCTCCAAAAAGCTGGCTCATGTACTAAGGACAGGTCCCGGTCCCACTGCTTGGGGACCCCCTAAACAGTTCAAGCTAAACAACTGTCTTGCTTATCTAGAGGGGCCAACTGGTTAAGGAGATGGACTGCAAATTTTTAGTTTTAAATAATAGTGTTCACTATGTAGAAAGTTCTAGTGCCACATTACCTCAAAATTTAGGGTTTTTTTTTTTTTTTTGGTTTTGTTTTGTTTTGTTTTTTTGTATTAGTTTCAAGAACTTCAGGGTACTTTAAATGTTTTGAAAATGTTTACCTCTACAGTGAAAAGAAAATTACTTCTATGAGCTATTTTCTCTGGAAAGATATTAAAACATAGGTAACTACTAAGTATCCAGGAATAGTTTTTCACAAAATGAAATTTGTAACTGACATTGTAAATGAATAAAAGCCTGAAGCCCTGTTTTACAGCTAGCTCCCAGTGAGTGAAAAGGGAAAACTGGGTACTTTTCATAGTTGATTTCCTGTAACAATAGAGATAGAAATTTGTCGTTGAGGGTTTGGATAGTGAGAGGAAAAGCTAATTCAAAAAGGCTCAGAGCTTAGGGGAAGAACTTAATGCTGAAGTACTATGTTAATTACAGAGTCCACTTAATGACTTTAAAGAAAAGATTCATTGGCCAGGGGATGGGAATATTAAAATATTGATGAAGAGAGACCTCTGCTATAGACTAAACATCCCAACAACTTAGTGGCAGGCTAATTTAATTAGATATAAAAGGTGTGTGTGTATGTGTGTGTGTGTGTGTGTGTGTGTGTGTGTGTGTGTGTGTGTGTGTGTGTGAAGGCAAGAATTCAATGTGGGGTGTTTTCTTTCAATTGCTTTCCACTTTGTTTTTACAGAGTCTCTCACTGAACTTTGAGTTCACTGATTTGCCTAGACTAACTGGCCAGTAATCCCCAGAATACTCCTCACTTTGCTTCCCTGCCACTGGGATTATAAACTCATGACTTCATGCCCAGCTTGTCTTGTTTTTTTTGTTTGTTTGTTTGTTTTGTTTGTTTGTTTTTGTTTAACTGATGTGGATACTGGGTTTTAAATTCACGGATATATGGCAAGCATTTTAAAAACTGATTCATTTCTCCAGCCCTCTCTATAAAGTTGGTTTTTTTATTGGTTGCATACTTTATTCTGGACATTCAACTCTTTGCCTCTGTCACTGGCCTTTATTGTTACATTTTAACCCTTCTCTTACCCATATACTTTCAGGTCAGTAAGAACTTTGTTTATAGGTCTCAAACTCTAGCAGACAAATGGAATACTCTTATTTTACAGATTGACAGTTGACTTATCCTTCTTGTTCAGGTTTTCATCAAAAATTTATTAATTTTAATTTATTTATTATGTGTGTATGTGAGGGAGTGTACATGTGTTATAATATGGAGGTCAGAGGAGAACTTTTGGGAAATGGTTCTCTCTTTCTACTATGTGGGTCCTGGGTATTGAACTAAAGTCATCAGGTTTGGTGGAAAGCATCTTTACCTTCTGAGCCAAATCCCTGACCCATTAGGCTTCTTGTTTTTTAAATTTTTTTTATCAATTCTTTGGTAACTCCATACCATGCACCCCAACACCACTCATTTCCCAGTCCTTCCACATCTTCCCTCCACTCCTGCAACCTCCCCCTGAAAAAAAAATACAAAAAAAAAAAATAAACATTTTGCTGACCCCTCTGGGCATGACCTGCTCCTCTAGTTCCTCTGTGCATGTACCATTCTGATTCTGTCTCTCCTCTAGATCACATACTTCCTCTTCGTAGTCTCCCCACCATAATTTTTTTTTTAATAAACTAAGTTTTCTATCTAGATGAATCAAAAGGAAGGGACTGGAGCAGTGTTTGAAGTCAAAGGGAACTTCAGGAAGCTGAAGGCATGGAGAAAATTGGGTGTATTGAAAGGAGTCTGGATAAATACATTCAATGTACTAGAGACCTTAAGAAACTCAAAGAACACAACTGGCCTTATCAAACAAAACATGTCAGACAGAGACAGACTGAATGAGATGGTTAGTGTTGTCAAATCTATGAAATTTACAATCACCTGGGAGAAGGGTCTTGGAAAACATATGTAGAGATTTTATTTATGTTAATTTATGTGGTGGGTTGTACCATTTCCCTGGGCATGGGATCCAAGACTGTCTAAAACTATAGAGAGCCAGATGATCGCTGGCATGCATGGATTAATTCATTGCTTTCTATTCTTGACTGTGGATGTGATGTTGAGCTGCTCCAAGGTCCTGCTGCCTTGACTTCTCATCCTTGATGGACTATATCCCTGAACTGCGAGCTGGAACAAATGCTTTCTCTCTTAATTTTGTTTTGTCAGGGGATTTTATCATAGCAACCAGAAAATAAACTAAGAATCTTCCTCTTTCAAGGGCTGGGTTTCTTGCTACAGGGGAAAACTCATTAGTCAACTTACCCAGCAGTGGGTACCACATGTTATAGTGCTGAGTTACCAGGCAAGATGTGCCTTCAGATGCAATAGAGGCATGACTGTTAAAGCTAACCAACTGCATTTTATTGATGCTGAGGTCTGCTACACAGGAGGTAATTTACGCCTGATACTATAAACGATCAAAAGTCCATGGCTTGAGTACAGAAACCTAATACTGCTGTTTTGCTAGATATACATGCTGTCAAATTACCTTCTAAATATTTGTTTATATCAATAGATCAATGCTACTCTCAACATAGGTCAGAGAAGTTTCTTTTTGCAGTAGACAGCAGTCAGTGCACACTCACAACAGCTAAATACTGAGAATAAGTGACTGTTGAGTGTGTTGTCCTAAATGAGACACTATCAAGTCTCAAAGAACTCTAAGAACATTGTGGACAAGAAAGCACAAAGAAGGTAAGAGCTGGGGGCATGGTAGTTGCATTCATGAATTCATTGCAGCTATGATTACCAGCACAAGTGGAGGCAATTGCTGGCTACTGGGAGAGGATATTCATTTCATTTCTTTTCTTTTCTTTCTTTTTTTTTTTCGTTTTTCGAGACAGGGTTTCTTTGTGCAACAACCCTAGCTGTTCTGGAATTAGCTCTGTAAACCAGGCTGGCCTCAAACTCACAGAGATTCACCTGCCTCTGCCTCCTGAGTGACTGCTGGGATTAAAGGCATGCGCCACCAGAGCCCAGTGGATGTTCATTTTTCTTTCAGGAGTGTGGCCAGTGATAGTCTGCTCATGAGCATGTAGGCAATGTTAATTAGGCTCAGTGGACTATTTTTAAAAAAGACAGAACATGAAGTAAGAAGGACACTCTTGGGTAGATTATGGATGGAGATGGAATAGAGAAATTGGGAATGGATATGATCAAGGCAAATTACATACTTACACACACACACATACACACAAAAAAAACCTCAAAGAATGAATCAATATTTTTAAAGAATTTTGTTTTTGAGAAGAAACTGTTTCAATCTAGGCTTTTGTCTGGAATAAGGATTTAGGAGTCAAGGTCTCTTAGTAAACTATAAATAATCACTTAGCAAAATCAAAAACATAAGAGATAAGGGTCCTGTCAGAAAGCAAATTATTCAAGCAAGAATAAAGGTAACACTTGTTCAAAGCCAATGCTTTAAAAAAAAAATCCCCTTTGCAGTCCCATTTAGACTCTCAGGCTTTGAGTTCCTTTTCTAAGTCCATACTGTGAGCTTCTGGTATGAGATAGGATGGTCCCAATCAGAAGATGACTTGTGTGGGTCCTTGCAAATGCTTACTGCCTGCCGGTAGAGAAATGATCATTGAGAGGCAAGAAGGAAATCAGGTTCAGCAAGTCCTAGTCAGCCAGTACTGGTTCAAATATCTAGAGTCTGACATTGGGCAGTTTGTTTTAGACATATTTAAGTACAATTTTGGAAAAAAGTTTCATGCTCACAGTTTTCTCAATCCCATGTATACAATATAGCTTAAGGCATGACTACATTGAAACTCTTTTGCAAAGTACATGTGGCCTCTATCGAAGGTGGGTTCTATTGACTGAGAAGCAATACTAAAGATAAAGCCCCAGTGAGGAAGAATTTGGGATAAACATAACAGATTGGGAGATTTGGGTGTGGCCTGGCAGTTAGCAAAGGTCACCAAGGTTATTAACTACGTCCACTCCTAGCTTTCTGTGTGGAAAACACGTAGACACATGCCTTTTGAAGAGATAAGTCTGATGTTTAACATTTCTAGTTTCCTCAGTACTTATCTGTGAGCACAAGAACCTTATGCCCTTTACAATGACTGGTCCTTTGTGATGTGTTAAGAATTTTGTGTGAGAGTAATACACAAATCCCCAAATAGCATTACTACCTGGGGACCAACTTTCCAACTGTCTGTGGAAGACAGTTACATTCAATTAGCATAAGCCTAGCATTCCTTGAGGCAGAGTTGATCAGTTGCTGATCCTGTATATTTGGCCAGGTTCTGTTTTCATTATCTCTGGCCCAGGGATATTTGTTGTTCTTTCTCAAGCAGAGGCTGAGGTTCTAACACTCGCCCACTCAAATGCCACAGTCTCAGTGGTCTGAGATCTATGAGGGTTTCTTATCAGCCTAGAACATTGGAAAGAGGTAAGAAAAGAAGAGTCTTGGCATCTACTTTTCTCTCTTTTATTTCCGATAACAATGCAGAGAATTGTGACACATTTTAATAAATTAACATTTTATAGAACTGAGACATTTTACTAGATAATTATTAAGGTTAACACAAACCTGAAAAAATGCTGACTTTATTTCTCATAGCATATGGCAGAAGACTCACATTTCACTAACAGAGAAATGAAATAAGTTACCTGTGTAATAGCATTGGGCATTACCTCCCCCAACTGGAAAAAATATCACTGAAGCAATTACACTTAGAAATGGGGGTTGCAAATGTATTAATGGAATTTGTACTGAATGTCTTACTCATTATTGCCACTTAAAGAAAATGAAGGATTAGCTGTTATAGTTACTATTATGGTTAAAATGTATGAAAACAAATAATCAACTACCTGAAAAATAGGTAGAAAACTACTTAAAAGCTATAACATCACCATAAAGAAAGAAACTATAACATCACTTTCAGAAAAAAATTTCTAAGACTTACTTAGAAGGTATAACATCACCTTCAGGAAACAATTTGCCAAAGGTACAAAAGAATCAGACACATTCAGTCATGATAAATATATTTTGCTTTACATATACACATTGCTCAATAGAATTAGTTTATTGGACAGATTTATATGATAGGCACTGTGCTAATTGCTGAGTCCTGAAATGATGAAGTTATGTCTCAGTCCCTGTGAGCTTCCATGTAGATGAGAAATATAAAGTAATATCTATTTAGTGTGATACTTATTAATAGAGGGTTGTACTCTGAGTTATTTCAGCAACTTCATTACTCTCAAGAAGAATAGCACAATTTGTTGAGCTAGTTAGTTCTGTATGGTTGGGAATGTTCTCAGAGTTAATGAGGTGAATAAAGTTTCATGGTTGATAACTATGGAATTATGGCCTTGTTTTATGAAACTATCATGCTGTTATTATCATAAAGCTAGTCTATATTGATCGGCGAGTAAACTGTCCTCCTCTTAATAATGTAACTGGTATCTATGATTTCTATGTTTTGTAGACTTTCTAGAGGACTTTCTAAAAGTATTTTTAAAATTTTGAAAACTGTATCAAAAATTGTTATTAAAATTTTGCCCCTAAATTCTCCAGGCAAAATATATGTTTATGATTATGCTGATGGGAAGAGGGCACTCAGGATGCACAACAAGGCTCTAGACCAGTGGTTCTCAACCTTCCTAATTGTGTGACCCTTTAATACAATTCCTCATGTTGTGGTGACCCCCAACCATAAAATTATTTTTGTTGCTACTTCATAAAGGTAATTTTGTAACTGTTATGAATTGTCATGTAATAATCTGTGTTTTCTGATGGTCTTTGGTGACCTGTGAAAGGGCTGTTTGATCCCCAAAGTGGTTGCAACCTACAGTTTGAGAACCACTGATCTAGACTCTGTAGGACTACTAAGACCTAGAGAGCTAGACAAGAATGAAATGTTTGAACCACCAAGTTCACTGGCACTAGACAGTAAGGTAAAATCCTTCTGTCAAAGATTCTACCAAGCTTGCCAGGCTCAACCCAACAACATGGCACTACAATGAAGAATTCTCTGTGGCAACCTTACAAAGAGAAATCATGCAACCTGACCACTGATGGAGAAGTCAATGTGTTGAGCTCTTAAACAAGAAGGCAAATGAGGATATACTTTGTAGCAACAAGAAACATGGTGCTTCTCCAAGTGCTTTAAAGACTGAATTTAAAACAACTTTAAAGCAAGAACTGAAGTTCTCATCACAGTTGGCAAAGTTACTTTCAGTATTAGCAACAATTTCTAAGGTAACTTTTTGGAATCAGTATAGTATAGTAATTCTTTGTCCACACTGAACTATAAACTCTAAGACAAAAATCATGTGTCTGAAATGTTTAAGTTAGAAAAACTTTCTCTGTCTTTTATTCCAAGATTATTTTCACTTTTAATGTACATCTCTAACTTATAAGAGCTAACATTTTGTAAATGAACAATAATATTATTCTTGGATTAAATTCTCTATTTTGGTATAAATTTGAGTAGGCACTAGGTCATCAAATATAATCTATAAACATACTTTAAATTTTAAGATATAAAGGTAGGCAATCACCACCTCTGTTTATGTAAGTACTGTGTCAGGGAAATAATAACAATTCATATAGGTTTTGGTTCTTGTCTTCATATTTTTACTCAATTAGATGTTCTTCCTGAGTGGTAGTAGGAAGGAAGGAAGAATGGAAGAAAGACAGAGGAGTGAGAAAGGAAGGAAAGAGAAAATTTCCCTTAAGTAAAATCAAGTTCTATTTTAAAAAAAAATCTCAAGTATGTAAACCAATTGAAATCAGAATAGTTAAAATGTCTTAGTAATAGTCTCACCCTTAGGACTTTATAAAGTGCAATTGTTGTTTCTTACAGTGAACAGAGGTCTATTTTCCTGTAAAGTCTAGCCCTTATTTTAAAGGGCTACCCTCTGGAGCTGCTTTCTTGGAGACATTTTTAAAACTTATACTTTAATTTCAAATACAAGAGAAAAGCTTCCAGAACAATGAATTCAATCAACCTGAAAACAATCCCAAAGTAGCATTCTATTCCAGTATGTATTTTGTTGCTTCCAAATATCAAAATATTAAAGAGATTAGCTCTGTCTCAGACTTTGGTTGTCAAATGTATAATTGAGCCAAACACAATGAACACACATTCATTTGTTCTTCTTAGTACATAAGAAAAGTAGAATTTTGTTGCAATGTGTGGTTGCCCTCAAATAATCCAGCTTTCATGGGTAATGAATACAATGAATGCTTCTGTGATAAATATTTCTTTCCTTACCAATACAGAGTTGAGTGTTATGGGATTTTAATTTTAATTATGTGAATACTCTTGCTCAAGACTGTACATGAACAAAGGTGTACTGCATTTTAACTCAAGTTTGAAGATCACAACAAGAATGTTCATCAACTCTGATTTTATTTCATATGTTAATCTTTTCCTATATTTAATAATGCTATATACATACCTTCAATATTTAGGAGATAATATTCAAGTATTTCTAGATGTATCCTCCTAATGAAGTAAAGCAAGACAAAAAAAAAAATAATGGATGAGCCAGGCCGTGGTGGCACACGCCTTTAATCTTAGAACTTGGGAGGCAAAGACAGGTGGATCTCTGTGAGTTCGAGGACAGCCCGGTCTATAGAACAAGTTTCAGGACAGGTTCCATAGCTACACAGAGAAACCCTGTCTCAAACATACACAGACACAGACACAGACACACACACAGACACACACACACACACACACACACACACACAAATAGGATGGAGAAATGTTAACAATTTTTTTCCACAGGAATGACAGCAGTCTGGATAGTGAGCCCAATTATTTGGTCATTACATGTAGCCCTGGCTGAAGGCCAACATGAAAGGAAAACTACTTTAAAGAGAAATAAAAAAAAAGACCTACAGGAAGATGTCATAAAAGGATGCTATATTCTCAAAATAGACCTCAGAGACCACCGAGATTTGCATATAAGAAAACCAGAATGAAGAGCATCAGAGTGATAAGTTCTGTTCTCAGGCAGTGAGGCCACATTGACTGGCAAGACCACTGGAGGTACCAGTTTAGTCATGGAACAAAGGATCCAATGTAGATATAGTCCTGGAGATTCTGAACACAAAGCCATTTTTCCCTACTGGGGCAGTTAGATGAAAGTATGTCAAGGAAATACAAAATTAGACATTAGTGGAGCCAAGCCTGTTGTGGTGGTGATAAAGAAATGAAGAGGCTGGGCTCTATGACTGGACATAGTATTTTCTTCATAATGACAACTGGAAAGAAGCACAGGGTGTAGATGTATAGAGACGGCAAGAAATGAACGTGTTTAAAAGCAAACACGGCAATATAACTAAGGCCCCAAACCATAAGAAAAGACAACAAATCCAAGTACACCAGTTGGGTCTCGATGTCAAGAACATTACCATAGAGAATAGCAGAAATAAAAAGGGTTGGATAATGTAACACTGTTGGGAGGGGACTGTTTTAATTTAGTTTCTCTTTTTTGGAGGGGAAAGAAATGAATGATTCCTAGATTCACTGATGATATTATTTAAGCATACTTTACTAAGAAATACTTACCAGTCCCACATAGGCCACTCTTTGTTACCAGCTTTCTCTAAGAATGCCAGAGAAGCATCCTCTGAGTTTTCTTTTTCTTAAGTACACATGAAAGAAAAGGCACAGCCACCAGTCAATATGCTTAAAAAGAGCTATTGATTGTACCGAATACCCTGTGACTGACAGCTGATAGTCCAATTTTGAAGCTGCATGCAAATATACTTTGAAAATACATCTGAAATTTGTGTTTGCATTTATGTGATAAAATCAAAGAACTTTCATTTAGGTAAACATTAACTACACTTACTACAAATTAATATTTATAATGTAGTGTAGGAAACCACACTAATTCTAAGTTGTGCGATCTATATAGTTCCTAAGATGTAAATCAGAGGTATTAAAACCTAAAATGGCAGTATCTTTTAGAGCAATTAAACAAGCATACCTCTTGTGAAGCAGAATGACCTTGCTCACGAAGAAGAATGGTCATGCTCTGGTTGAAGCCGACAAAGACAGATTTTGAAACTATTGATATCAGAAGTCCTGTCATTTTGATTCACCTTGAATAATTTACTGAAGTCATAAAACAACATGGTGCTTTACAATTAGAACCTATGGCAGGAAACTGGTAAAGTACTAATTAAACCCTGGAATCTTACTGCAGCTCCAGGTTATACACACAAAGGATTCTTAATGAACATTTATGTTTATTGCTGCACTCTGTTCACAACAGTCAGGATATCAGAATATCAGGATATCAGAATCAGCCTAGATGACCATCAATGGATGAATATAAAAAACGTGGTATATATGCACAATAGAATTACATTCAGCTTTCAAGAATGCAATCAGGGCACTTGCACGAAAATGGATGGGACTAGAGGTCAATATGCTAAGTGAAATAAGCCAAATCCAGAAAGACAAAAATCGTATGTTTTCTCTCATGCAGAATCTAGATTTGTTTCTGAATCTGTGCATGTATACAGTATGTGTTTGTGAGACATGGAAGTAGAAAGACGACTTTGAAGGAAGGAAAAGATCTTAAGGGAGCAGAAGAGAGGGTAAGGGAATGCATGTGGCCTGGAAGCAAAAGGGGGACTATCTGGCAGGAAGAAACCAGCTAGAGTATGACCTGGGGGATGGGTGGAGGCAATGGAAGAGATGAATAGGAACTAAAGTATAAAGACAAACATGTATACAAAGGCCAAAAAGAAACCCACTACTTTATAATGACCAGCTTCTCTAGAGATAAAAATTTCTATATCCTCTATGTTGGGGGAACAGGCACTAATGATATAGAAAGAACATTTTAAAAGTACCATTTCAGATTGCAAGGACATCACTCAGTGGGTTATATGTTAAGACACAGTCAAGCTTGGTGCAATTTAGGATGATAATTAAATAAAAAATGTAAATTTACCAAATTTGAACCAAAAAATGAAAGCTATCATGTTATTAAAAGCTCAGTCTCACAATGATACTAAAAACAAATAAACAAGCAAGTAAAAAAATATTAATTGCAATGGCTTAGCACTATAAAGTGCTCAAATATGCTCTTAATAACAAATACATATTACATGTACATAATATCATGTACCATAATAAAGCCAAACTCTTCTTAGTATATTGACCAGAAGGGTGAAGAAATGTATTTTAGAAAGTTACTGACCACAACAAAGGTAAAATGAAATCACTTAAGTAGCAGGCAGAAAAGGATAGGGATTCAATAATTCTTAGACCTACAATGTTCAATGTGAGCGTCTCACCTATTTCTAATTTATCTTGATGTCACACAATGTGACAGTATATAGGCTATTTTCCCTTCCTCAAGAGAGTTCTCCCTTCTACATGGTACACATTTATGAACACTGATTTTTTTTGTCATCCTTTACCTTAAAGTCAAAGGGTCAAAACCTATAATTTTTACTTACATAAGAAAATACTAAGTATTCTGAACTATTCAATATTAAATTACATTCAATGTAACTTTGGTAAAATGTATTTTGTATTTTAACTTTCTGGTAACTGTCTACTTTATAGACAGCATACATCTCTAGTCATTCTTCAATAGAAGGAATATTTTATTGTGCTAAGTAAGATACTTTTTTACTAATTCTACTAGGCATCATTTTAGACCACTCATGCAAATATTATTTTTAGAAATGATTAGAAAACCATGGGTCCCTATATTTGTTGAACTGAATAACTTGGCAGTAAAATTCAGTTAAGGCTTTTGGCATGGGTGACACCTCTTCCCACTCTGACCTGCTGCTGTGGTAAACCTGCACCTCATCTGTGATCTCATCTGGTGCATAATCTCCACCTAATATGTAAATCTTATCCTCAATCCCAATTGCACCCGCATTAAAGCCTGCACATTCAAAAGAGCCTTCTCCTTTCCAAACACAAGTATCAGGACAAAAACTATACACCTTATAGGTGGAAAGATCACATATATACAGGGTACAGTTTACTGGAACAGCTTTAATTAGAGTAGCATGAAAGAACTGCCCAAACTCTGCTACTAGTTCAGACCACTGGTCAGTTGTAGCATTGTATTTAAAAAAACAATCAAGGGATGGGTTAAATGAATCTGCAATCTCTACCTCAGATCCAAGAACATAAATGACATTCTGACATGCACTGGCTTCTGGGTAAAAGATGCCTCTGGGTAAAGGGCTAACCGATGTCCACTCTTTGGATAGTGGATCATAAGATTCAACATCTAAGAGACTTTTAATGTCCTGGGATCCTCTAGTCTTTCCACCTATAACAAATAATCGATTGAGAGCCATGACTGATGTATGCATGGTTCTCGGGGTTTTCATGGTTGAAACCAAGAAAAACTCATTTTTGACTGGACAGTAGCACCAGGTCTGGTCAGTGGCATCATGGTAAGACTCAGCAATATGAAGTCGAACCTTCCTACAGCACTTCCCTTTACAACCACCTGTTAAGAATATTTTCTCTCCATAGCTAGACAGACTAGATCCTGGCAAATCAATAAGATGTGATTGTGGCAGTATTTTCCATGAGTCAGTTTTAATATTATAGCAAAATGTATATTGATTTTCGCCATTTTCCTCAGTTTTATGGATGAATATATATTTTTCAGTTGTGGATGGTCGAGCATCAGGGAAGAGGCCACTAGAACCTTGCACACACTTAATGGCATCCACAATTACATCAAAGCAGTTTGTGCTTTTGAGTAAACACTCTTCATTGAGCAGATAGTCTTGAAGTGTGTCCTCGGGTAACTGATGTAACCTTACTTTTGTAATCAAGTGAGGCAGGTGCTTTCTCCTGGACTCTAAGTTGTATTTAATCCATGTGATGACAACCTTCAGGACTATTTCTTCTTCAGGCACATTTAACTCATCTGACTCCAGACACTTCTGTAGCACTCCAAAATTCATCTCTAAAAACTCTCTGGATTTAAATAGCAAATGAAAGTGACGCTGTACGAAGCATAAAGTGTGACTAAACAAATGGGTAGAGCCGTAGCTGTCTGACAGAGATAACAAATGCAAACAATTGACGAGACTGACGCTTTTTATTAAAAAGTCACTGCAAACTTTGGATAGGAAGGGGACCTGCAGAAAGGACGACAGCTGGAAGAACATTTCCACATTCTCATCTGTTATTCTTGCTTTCCCGGTATAGGCGTAGTCAAGAAATGCCTTTACTGCTTTGGAGGACAAGTTAGTAATGGTAACACTTCCATCATCTCTTTCTTTCATGTTTACTTCAAACATGGCCCTGAAAAAATAAAGAAGAAAGAAGAACAAGTAAACAGGAGTATTTTATTCTACAATTATTATCAATATTACCATACAGATGTTTCTTTACCCTTTAGTTCATTTAAAATGTTTATGATACCACAATTAATGGCATCCTAATGAACTATTTTAACATTTAAAATAATTATATGCCATAATACTCATCTGATGATATATTATGTAACCTTCATATTAAAAATTTATACAATGTAACTGAGATATAGTAAAAAAATGAAAAAAAAGGCTGTAAAGTGGTTCAGATTTTATGTACTGGTTAGTTCTATATAACTCTGTTTTCTTCAATGGAAAATTAATTACAGCTGTGATAATAACTACATTTCTCAACATACAATGTTCAAGGTTTTAGGCTTCAAAAATTTACATCAAACACAGAACACAATGAGAGGCCCACTGCCACCAATGATTTTGTATGGCTCTGTGGGAAAATCTATGAAATCAGATTCATACTGTATAAGGGACAAGGGAATGTAATATCCAAAAACTAAGTCACACAAAGCCAAAAAGGCCAAACCTATGTTTTTGTGGTAACAACCACTGGGTGACAGACTGCTCTCTGAATCTGAATAATCAGGCCAGCTTGAAAGTTAAAATTAAGAGATTGGGACTAACTTGAACTCAGGAGAGACAAAAATTACAGGTTATTTGGAGGTACCAGTGAATAAAATGTACTTTACTGTACAGCCTGCATCTGTGCTGATATTATAAAAAATACTGTGGTGGTTTGAATGAGAATGACTCCCATAGGCTCAAGTTTTAATACATGGTCCCCAGTTGGTGGAACAATTTGGGAAGGATTAGAAGGGGTGGCCCTGTGGAGGTGTGAGGTTTCAAAGAGTGATGCCATTACCAGTGTGTTCTCTGTCTCCTGCTTGTGGACTAAGATGTGACTTCTCAGCTGTTCTTGCCACCATACCTTTGCTCTGCCATCATGGGACCCTAACCTTACATTCTAAGCCAAATTAGACACTTTCCTTTACAAGTTGTTTGTTTTTTTTTTTCATGGTGTCTCACCATAACAATAGAAAAGCAACTAAGACAAACACTTTGTGTGCTATACCTGTGCTATACATAGCTAAGTACTTGCTTGTACTTGGTGGTGTTGGGGTTGACTTTTTACTTTGAATCTGTCCCAGAGAACAAATAAATTTATTAGTGAGCACAGGATCTACCTGAAGAATATGACAGGGTCTTTCAAATAAATAAGGAAAAGAATGATAAAGAGACTTTTTATTAGGCTATTTGATACTTCTTAATACAAAGCCAAGTAAATGTAGTGACAAAAATTATACACATGCTATATGTTATACAAGGACCTTCAACAATGTATGTCAGTTTAGAAATACTAAATAGCAATGATTATATTATATACTATCTATGTATCTATGTACTACATTATTGGTTCAATGCAGTATTAAGTTCATGACCCCAAGAGACAGCTATCTCAGTGATGATGCTGCTTCTTCACTTATTGGCTACATGACCAGCAGGAGGTTTCATTAATAATGAATATGAAAGATATTCTACTAATGTTTGTTTTCTTGTATCACACATAAATAATATAAAAAGAGAAAAAAGCATGGCTAATGAATCTGAAAAAATAAATTAAAATATTAATTTGCATTGTAATGGGAAGTTCTAAACGGATACATTATTTTAACTAAAAGATTATTAATATGCTACAAAATAATCTCAGGTTACATACTCAAGAAAAATCATATCACTATCAACAAAATTACTTGCAAAATAAAGGGATTAAATGAGTTGATTAGTCGGGGAGGGATGGAGAAGGAGAGCAATGAAAGAGATATCTTGATAGAGGGGGCCATTATGGGGTTAGGGAGAAATCTGGTGCCAAGGAAAATCCCAGGAATCCATAAGGATGACCCCAGCAAAGACTCCTAGCAATAGTGGAAAGGGTGCTTGAACTGGCCATCTCCTATAATCAGATTGGTGACTACCCTAATTGTTACCATAGAACCTTCATGCAGTAACTGATGGAAGCAGATGCAGAGATCCACAGCCAGACACTGGGCTGGAGCTCTGGGAGTCCAGTTGAAGAGAGGGAGGAAGGATTATATAAGCAAGGGGGAGGGGGAATATCAAGATCAAGATGGGGAAGCCCATAGAGACAGCTGACCCAAGCTAATGGGAGCTCACAGACTCTGGACTGACAGCTAGGGAGCCCGCATGGGACTGACCTTGGCCCTCTGCATGTGGGTGACAGTGGTGTAGCGTTGTCTGTTTGTGGGGCACCTAGCACATGAGCTGGCTTTTTATAACCTACTCCCTATGGTGGGATGCCTCAGTCAGCCTTGATGCATGGACCTAGTCCTGCCTCAACTTGATATGCCATGGTTTGTTGACTCCCATGGGAGGCCTTACCCTTTCTGAGAAGTGGATGGAGGGTGGTGGTGGTGGTAGGTAGAAAGGAGATGGGGGGGGTGGAGACAGGAGGAGAGGAGGGAAGGGAAATTGTGGTTAGTATGTAAAATTTTTAAAAAGTCAATAATTTTAAAAAATGAGTTGTTTAGTTGAATAAGTGACTTAATCATTGCAAAGTATTAACTGCTACTATTTTAAGAAATCAAACATTTCCTAATAGATTGCTCACCTCTCCCCACATCTCTGTCTGTCTGTCTATCTACCCTACCTACCTATTAAGGTTTTATTTATTTTATGTACATGGGTGGTTTGTATGTATGTGTACAAGTATGTGCCTAATGCCTGTGAAGAACAGAAGAGGGAATCAGATCCTCTGGAACTGGAGTTACAGATGATTATGAGCTACCATGTGGATGCTGGGAATTGAACCCAGGTCCTCTGGAAGAGCAGTGGGTGCTCTTAACCACTGAGCAATTTCTCAAGTCTCAGGATTCTATGTGACTCAGATTTGTCATGTTATCCTAAGTAGTTTTCTGTAAGACATGTGATTCCTTTTCAGTTCCTTGATTTTACATCTTAATCATAACTTTTGCTAAGTAGTGCATACTTTTCTGACATTTTTATTTTACATTATTCTTGCAATGTAGTTAATTTTATCAAACTACAAGTATTATGAATTAATGGTTTATTTTAAGAGTATAAATGATTAAGTTTCTAGCCACATTTGTACATATTTTCATGTGAGCTATGTATTCATTTAACAAAATTCAATAAAGAACTGGTCATTCCTGCTATTTAAAACAGTCTAAAATTAAAAAAGAAAACTATTATTCTATTCTAATAGTGATTTTAAAAGATGAAAAGCAGACTCAAAAAGCTAGGAAAGGATATGAGGTTCTGCTGTGTCATGTACTATTTACTAATACTGCTAAAATTACTTAACTTTATAATTGATCACTGCCCATCTGCTCAGCATTAAGTCACTTGAGGAAAAGTTAGGAGTAAGCTGAACAAAATAGTATGTATGTGTTAAAGCATTTAAATGCCTAAACCAGCAGTCACACAAACAGCCCTTGTTAAACTAAATGGGTCAAAAAAGTCATCACTGAGAAGGGACAGCTGGGGAAGGAAGCGACATTGATATGGATAGAGATAAGGAGGCGGTAGAGAGTAACCAGAAGACATTATACACATGTAAAAAGCTCTCAAATAATTAACATACTCAATTATTCAATTAAAAAATAAGTTTGATAAGAGCAGAGGATTATAAATCCAAATGCTTACAAAAACTTCTTGTTGTATTAGCTTGAAAACAATGCAGGGAAATCACACTGTATGCTCAGAACAGGATCTTTCTGTGTTTTGCTATGTTACAAAACAAGAACTTTAATGACTAACATTAACTGAATGTAAAATACAGTATGCTAACCATTTATACATTATTTCTTTTATAAACTCCAGAATGACCCTATGTATTAATTCCTATTTTTATTTTTCTAATTTCCTTGTCAATGGTGAGGAGACCTAGGTCTGAAGAAGGTAAGTGATTTACCTAAGGTCACATGACTAGTAAGCAATGGATCTGGGATTTAGCTTAGGGCATATATACTTAGAAACTAAGTATTTAACCACTAACTAGACAGATGCCTGTGAACAAAAGGCCACATTTGTAAGGATAAGGGACACAAAAAAGTTACTGGAAGGAAAGCTGTGTTCAAAAGGTGGAGGGAAGACAAAGGTGTCTTGGGGGTAACAGAGACTAACACTGGGGGCCCCAACATAGTTCAAAGAATGCCTACGAGTATGTGAAGAAACAAAAAGCAGAGAAGGAAAGTTATAGTTAAGTAAGCAAATAGCTAATTCAAGACTGCTAGAGCTTCCCTGGCCAAGAACACTGTGCAGTACTGAGTTCCAAATTCAAAGCAAAACCCCAAAGGCAGGTGTTCAATCAGTAGCAGATGGCAAAAACTGCTTGCTAAATAAAGTCTGGCTTATAAAATTTACTACAATGGTAGTATAGCAGGTCTTGAATTACATGTTTATAAAAAGCAGGTTTTGAATTAATGATTAAAAACAGAACAGCACAAGGCCCTGGGTTCAGTTCCCAATTTTAAAAAAATTGCAAATGCAGTATACTTTTCATTTTGCTTCATATATTAAATCTTACCCTGTTTTTATCAAATTGGTTGAAAGAGTAAAACCCTACTTAATTTTTATTAATGCATAATGCAGAGTACTGAAGTGAGAATTTGCGTTTACTGCAGTATAAACTAGGAGGGCTGACTGCAGGGTGTCAGCAAAAGATACCATTCTCTTTACTGGCCAGCAGACAATTGCCACAGTACTATGATAATACATCAGACCTTTACCCTTATGCATCAGAAACTCACTACCATCATGACAATCCTCCTTCCTCAGCCTCTTGAACGCTGAGATTATAAGCATGAGCCACCATATGTGGAAGGAGAAATATTAAGTCCTCTGGGCTCGAATTCCTCACCTGGGATATGGCATGAACATAACTAAAATTATTTTCTTCTTGGTCATTTTCTTTAAACTCAGCTTCTATTTTTGTTTGACTTGCCATTTCAACAAAGCTGACCCCATATGAACTCCACTCCCACACAGACTAGCTCAAGGAACTAATTTTAAAGAACTCTGGGGATGGTGTCCTTGAAAGACTCTTATTTTTACAGCTGTAGCTTAAGAGTCCCTATTCAAATGCTATTATAAAACTAGTTCTAATTAAGTCTTCTTATTAAGAATTAAAAATTGTTATAGCATGTTCAGGAGGCAGTGAGTTTTAAAATACAATGTAATTTTTTCCATATATAAAATATAAAGCATAAATGGGGGTAGAGTACCTGAAAAAGTCACTGCATGCCGCCAACACACAACGATGGCATGGGATTATTTCTTCTTTCATTATTATTTTGAAATCATAAAAGACATTCTGTTCTCTAAAACTCTGTAGAACACTTAAAATTTTCTGTCCATGATCTTCTGATGCAAGGAAATTCTTTTTCTTTTCAGATGAGATTCCATTCCATGAGCCTTGTTCATTGAAATTGTATGAATTATCCATAGCCAATTCCACCTGTTCTTAGAAATGGAATAAAAAAATTAATGTTGTAGGAAGCTAATGAAATCTTCAGACTTAATTTGCCCTCTTCAGTCTGGCAAGATAGCTTATCAGGTAAAAGCTCTTGCCTTGCAAGTCTGGTGACCTAAGTTAGATTCATAGACCCCATATAAAGGTGGAAGAAGAAAACCGACTTCATACAATTATCTTCTGACATCCACATGCTTGTTACATATACCCAATAATAAATAAAATGAATTTTAATAAATATACTCATAATATGAAATTACAATAGAAGTAATAATAAGATAGTAAACTTTAAACATTTGATTTTATGATATTTAATAAAAAATTCTTCTTGAATTTTTATTTGAATTGGGAAATATGTAATTGAAGCTTGATATCTATTATCATAGGATTGACTGTAGAGGTTGTATAAATACCTACCTTCTTTAGGCCTTCACTACATGCCTCATCTTATTGTTATTAAATAAATATTATTTCTGAAGTAGTAGTTCTTTTAGTATACATTTTATACATGCACAATCTTTTGTGGCAAAATCAGGATTAAAATGTTGATGCTGACATACTGACTTCATATCTTCTAACTCTAACCCTAACCCTGACCTTCACAAGAGAACTGACTTAAAAAAAGCCACCCGAACTGGTGGTATTAGTTAATTTATGGCTGTGGTGGTTTGATTGAAAATGGCTCCCATAGGTTCAGAAGGAGTGGCACCATTAGGAGGTGTGGCCTTTGCTGGAGGAAGTGTGTTAACGGAGGGAGGGCTTTGAGGTTTCAAATGCTCAAGCCAGTCCCAGGGTCACTCTCTCTTCCTGCTGTCTAGCCATTTGGATGTAGATTCTTGGCTCCTTTCCCAGAACCATGTCTGCCTGTGCACTTCCATGCTTCCTGCCATGATGAAAGTGGACTAAACCTCTTAACTGTAAGCCAGCCCCAATTAAATGTTTTCTTTTATAAGAGTTGTTGTTATCATAGTGTCTATTAACAGCAATAGAAACCCTAACTAACAAATGGCCATTAGAAAGAAAACATTGGTCCCAGGTGTCCTAGTTGAAAGCAGAAAGAAAAACAGCATACCAATACTATTAATGTTTTAAAGGGTATTCTTTTTTTTTTTTTTTGGTTTTTTGAGACAGGGTTTCTCTGTGTAGCTTTGCACCTCTCCTGGAACTCACTTGGTAGCCCAGGCTGGCCTCGAACTCACAGAGATCCGCCTGGCTCTGCCTCCCGAGTGCTGGGATTAAAGGCGTGCGCCACCACCGCCCGGCTTAAAGGGTATTCTAAACACAAGGTAAAGAATGCAAAACAGTGGGAGGCTAGATTGTAAGCCCCTCCTCTGAGGACCTCTAACTGCCAGGTTCCATCCACAGAATACTCTAACTGCTGGACCCTGCTCCCACCCTGCAGAGCAAAAAAGCCCAATCTCTAGACATAAAATCCCACCAATCTCCACCCTGAAAAGCTCCACCCTCTTCCCAAGAAGCTCTGTATAAGCTCTCTATCCTGTTGAGTTTGCTGCTGTTTCTTGCTCTAGCAGAGGCAGTTACCCTCCTGGTTTTTTTTCCCTCCTAATCTCTTATGTGAGGTTTGTTGTGCGGTGTGACTTTGTGGTATTCCTTGGTTTCCAGCTTCCAATGCTTACACAGATAATCATTAACTTCCCAAATAACAAACTCAGCTCCAAACACAAAAGTGTTAACACCAAAAAATAAGGAAATAAACAGGAAAGAAGGCTGAGAACTAGGGAAATCAAAGAAACAGGGAAACTGATTCCCTAGTACCTCTCTGTTGTACTTATTCATTTCCTTAAAATCCCCTGACTTGTAGTGGCTTAGGACAATTTATTCCTCTCAGGGTACTTAGCTGGAGCTTCTTGCTTGGGGTTTTCACATAACTGTAGATAGTCAGATTGCAGACAGCTATGGCTGGAATCGTCTGAAGTCTGAGATCTTCAACATGGCCTCTTTAAGGAAAGGAATAAATAAGAACCACTGAGGAATTGGAAGTGGAGTGTACAGTGTTACAATGGGCTTAAAAGAAAAGGGAATGGTTTGTATAAATTTTTCTTTTTTGTTTATGTTGATGGTGGTAGTGGTTGTGTGTATGTGTGTGCGCGCGCGTGCTTGAGCATACATGTGCCATAGTAGGACAGACTCAGGTATCTGTCTTTTGACTTCTACCTTTTCTGAGACAAGTTTCTTGTTATTCAGCACTGAATACCACCAGGCTAGCTGGTCTACAATGGGGACTGTCCTATCTCTGCCTCTTATCTCTTTTTAGGAGCACTAGGCTGATAGAGCAACTTCACATGAGATCCAGATCCACATTCAATTCCTCATGCCTGCATGACAAGTGCTTCACCCACTAAACCAGCTCTTTGGTCTCTGGTCCCTCGATGATTCTTTTAAGAAATCCAACAAGGTCAGGCTAGAATAAAAAGTAGGTACTTTAAAAAAATGAGAGAAACATGGAATATGTTAGTACACAAAGAAAAGAGGGTAGGTGTGAAGAGAACTTTTGACAATGATAATAATTTAAACTCAGCAACTATATCTGGTAGCATTCAGACCTGCCCCTGGCCCACCCAGCGCCCTGACAATATCATCCTATGTAAAATCCCTTTAAGAAAAAACCCCCTCCCTCTTCTCTCTCTCTCCCTTCCTCTCTCTTGCCATAAGGTAGTGTGCACCTCCTCTTTCCCTTTTCTCCTTCTCTTCTTCTCTCAGTCCCCACCTGCTTTCCCTCTCTTCCCTTCTCCCTTCCCCCAATAAAACTTTCCACGTGGGTGCCGTGTCTGTATGGTGTGAGTGAGTTTCCATCATGCCCCTTGGCAGCTGCCCACCATGTCTGCATGGCATGTCTCCCTCACCAGCCATGGGGCATGTTGGCTCCACCTGCCAAGGCCTTTTTGATAAAATTCCCAACACGCCCCCATGGTTGGGCATGGTCGCTCATGCCTGGCAGGACACCTAGTTATTTCCACCCAGTCATTTCCAGGTCAAATGTCTTGTGTGACCCAGGACCCTGTGGCTTTACGTGGTTGCATAAAGCACGCAGCATAACCATGTTATCTATGCACATGCATGGAATAGCCACGTGGGCCTGTGTGCACAGGCACAGCTCAGCCTTTATAAGTCAGCACCATGATTCCCTAGCCCCCTTCACACATGTCTTTCCACAGGCCTATGCACATCTATCTCTCTTTCCTCATCTTAATAAAACTCTTGTTAGTGGATTCTGTTGTGTTTCGTGGCTTTTCCTTGAAGGGTAAGAGCATTGCAAAAAACCAACACTCTCTCCTGCCGTTTTACAAAAATATCCATACCTCAAAGCAAAAAACTTGGGACCCTTACACTGTAATTCCACTCTGTTAAGCGGTAAATATTAGTAAACAACAAATGGTTAGAATTTCTGTAGTTGCTTAGTGATACAAGCCTGACAGTACCAGTGAGAGACTAAGAGTTAGACAGACTTCCTGGAAGACAGACAGGTTCTGGTCATGGCTAGGTAATAAAGGTGGCAAATTTCCAAGATGGCTGGCTCCTTCTTCACCCTTCTGACTTGATACAAAAGCCTGGCAGCTTAAAGCAAAGGCCCTGTAGGGTTTTGTTTCAGCCTGCTGATGTACTGTCTCAACAAGTTCAAGGCTGATTGAGGACAGGTTATACAACAGTTGTGGGTAACCATTCTATCTTTATTCAAACTCACCACCCTCAAATTAGGAGAAAAAAACTCTTCAGAGACTGTAAACATCCCAGCTCTGGAGAGGAGACTAGAGTTCCAGCTTGGCAGAGTCTTTTTCTCTGTGTGAAAGGTTTACAACACGCCCCCATGGTCGGGCGTGTTCGCATATGCCCAACAGACACTTCCACCTAGCCAGTTCCAGGTCAGGATAGCCATTTCCGGGTCAGGGCATCTTGCGTGACCAAGATCCATGACGTTCCATTGGCTACGTAGGCGCGCAACGTGGCCATGTGATCTACGCGCTTGCGTGTAATAGTGACGCTGATCTGTCCACGCCCAGCCTTTAAAATCCGGCGCCATGTTCCCGGCTCCTTCTTCTTCTTCTTCCTCCTTCTTCTCCACACACGTGCTTCCCGCAGGCCTGTTCACTCTCTGTCCCTTTACCTTTAATAAAACTCTTGTTAGCGGATTCTGTCGTGTTTCGTGGCATTTCCTTGCAGGGTAAGAACACAACGCAGCCGAAAAACTAACACTGTGTGTCTGCTGCATACATGTGTTCTTACCCCCAGTAAATGCCTTTCTTCAGCTGCTGATGATTCTGTCTGCTACCTGTTGCCTTTGAGATTTTCCCTGTCTTTTAATTCTTTAACCCCTAGTCTGTATCATTAGGACTTTGGATAATCTCCATGTGTAGTGGCATTCCTGCTGAGCTCCTGGTTTGGCTCCAGAGAGCAGCACCCAGACCTAATCCTTCCTCTGTTTAGCCACACCTTTTGTTTCTCTTACCTTTTGTTTCTCTTATTGTCCTATGTGAATCTTGTCTGAGAGTCAAAGATTAGAGTCCTCCAAGGATAAAAGGCCTATGCAAAACTTGGTCCAGGAAACCCCCGAAAACCAAGGAATCTGAGAAATCAAGTAATTTGCACCTGGCATTTGGTCTCTGGGAGCTCCTTTTGGGTTGCTTTGAAGGTATGGAAATTAACTATCTAAACTGTAAAAAAGAGTAAATAAATATGCCCTAGGCGAAGGGAAGAGTGCTTCAGTCCTTCGAGTCTGGACCCCCCTGCAGCCATGAAAGGCTAGATTCATTCTTAAGATGCCTCTGTGTCTTCATTCCACAGACCCCCATGAACCCACACACATCTACATCCATGGTTACCTCATTCAATATTGGTAATAACTATTTAAGACTGTCATTAACAATACTTTCTTCAAAATAGCAAGCTGAGACTCAAACAACATTCCTAAGAACAAAAAAAGCTATGTCTGGTCCCTCAAGAAAGTCCTTTTCCCAAGGTCAGGCAAATTAGA